TTCGACATCCATGTCCTTCATTAAATTTATTATGAATTATCTCACCTATATTTTTGAGATTATGGACAAGATATTCAAAAGTTTGTTCTCAGTACGTATTTTACTCAGCTCTGCTATTCTTTATAAAAAGCACCCGCATTGTGATACGAATTATCTTTGAACACAATGTTCTATTTACAACAGCAGAAAAATGCGTTATTCAACTTCAGAAGAGAACATACTATTTAGAAATACTGCTTTCAAAAGAGTCATGATCTAATTACAGTACAGAGCTTAAAACTATGTAAGAGTACTAACAGTTGTCATGTTGTGTTGGACTGATGATAGCGAAGTCTTATTGTGAGAAGAAGAAACACAATAGGTATCTTACCAGGCCATTAGTCTCGGGCATTGTTCGGTGGGGAACGCTAGGGGAACACATATCCGCATTCGATTCTAAAATGTCCGCTGGTTAAAAAATGCTTCGGCATCTATAAGCTTTGTAGAAAATGTAGATATTGAATCTTGATATAAAACAGTCGCGAGAAACGGGTACTTTCATCCGAAATTTATTATTATGTGTTGTACTAGAATACTGTTCGACTTTGTCTTTTTGATTCTGTATTTTATATAAACAGGTAATACTTACAATAAAGTTTGATATTATTGCCTTAATGGTAAGGTACAATGGGAGGAGAGTAAGCTGGGTTATTAACGTGTCTACTTCTCATTCGTGTTCCTTATGTAAGAGTAGGCGATGACTTTATTACTCTGACAGCAGTCCTCGCTATACTGCTGTGAAACATAAGATACACATCGGTCTGGTTCATCAGTGTCCTCTAATACAATGACAGAACCGATTTCTGTCTTACAACAATCAGTAAATGTTCTTTCCTTCCTTATTAATTCTACATAAACTGAAATACTGATAAGATACCATTTTGTCAAAGCAAAGAAACGTAAAGGAACCTTTTTTGTTATACTGCAAACAGTTTTGTCAACACAAAGATCGAACAAATAATCCTCTAACGTTCAGTATTACAGAAAGTTTGATTTGGCCACAAGTAGCAGAGGGAAATTTTGCTGAGTTCACGCTGGACATTTATGCTTTAAACTGTATGTAGGCGATGGTAAACTTGCTTCCTAGTCTCTGGAACTCATTAGATAGCCAACGTTTCAGTACAGAGTTTACGAGTGTTACTCATGAAACCAACTAGGAGGTTAATAAAACCCAGCCATGTTAATAGACTTATATTAACCCCAATTAGAGGCATTAAAGCATTCATTAACTTCCTTCTTTATTACTTATTTTTTATACTCGCAAATAAGCCTTTCGCTCACACAGACAAGAATTATGAAAATTCATGAAAAATATTTTCCAAACAACACGAAATAATGCTTGATTTAAACCATTTTCATTGTGGATGTATACATATTCCAAAAAGGCCTATAACTAAGGTTTAAGCATTATTTACGACGCCTATAGATAATCGTCTCTTCATGAATTAAAACATAATGTGAAAAAATGGGCCGTCGTCATTATGAACTTTAATTCAAAAATGGACCTTGGTTTACTCCCACTAAAAACTCGCTTAACACCCAACAAACAAACAAACAAACAAATTACTTAAAACACGATGTTTATGACTCGTTGATGACACACCTTTTTGACTTGACGGGAGACAAAATGACGAGCTATACGCTTACCCTTCCAGAACGCTTGGTTAGTCTAACGTTTAATGACCAGTACAGGGTAATGGTGACTCTTATCCTTCTTGAGCATTTGTTTTGTTTGAGGGTTTTTGACGAATTATAAGGAAAAGATGACGTTTAAATTTCTGTAACATTTTGTTTGATTAAGGGTGTATCTAGAGTTATAAAGTAAACATGACGCTTACCATTCTTGACCTTTTGGTCTCTTTGGGGGTCAATACAGAATTATAAGTTAAAGATGGCGCCCATCGTTTTAGAGCATCTGGTTTTTGTGACAGTTTATGATGGTTATTTATACGTTTAAGTATCTTTCGTCTTGTCCGTATCGTCTGTTTTCTCTTTCACTTGTTCATTCTTCCACAACAACAATAGATGCCCTAGATATGTAGGGCCGATAGGTTTGGAAAGTAAAACCGGGTCATTTCACCTGTTGTTAGGCCCCTAACATATACACAGACACTGTACAAGGTCACAAGTGCACGCTGACTTTTAAAGTCGCCGAAGTGTCAGCGAATGGTACTGCCCTTATTTTTCACAATCAACTGTAAAACTGTTTTTCAGTTATGCAAATTCTTTATGTTCGCATTAGAATGGTAGGGTAGCACCCAGACATTGTTACACTGGTGACATATCAGCTGCATCAAGCCCGTAGTAGATCGTAGATACAAGGTAACAGTGGTACATGTAATCTGGAGTGTGAATTGGGAGAACATCGTTTATTCTGTAACAACAAACTTTTAAGTGACAGATTTTAAATCGTTTATACGATTTTGAAAGAGAGACACTTGCATTGATTAATGTATATGGATATTACAAGTGTCAAGTATTGTATTAAATGTAATATGACACGTATTCTATGACAAGAATTGTTGTGACAAACAAGGTTATGCATATATTGAGTAACAAGTATTGTAAGACAAGTATTGCTGGGACGTGTTTCCCTTTGAAACGTATCACTGTGACATATATCACTGTGACAAGTATTGTTGTTACGTGTATCACTGTGACAACTATGGTTGTAACAAGTATAAATGTGACAGGTATTGTTATTACGTGTATTACTGTGACAAGTATTACTGTGACAAGTATCACTGTGACAAGTATTACTGTGACATGTATCACTGTGACAAGTATTGTTTTGACGTATACCACTGTGACAAGTATCACTGTGACAAGTATTACTGTGACAAGTATTACTGTGACATGTATTACTGTGACGTGTATTACTGTGACATGTATCACTCTGACATGTATTACTGTGACAAGTATCACTCTGACAAGTATTACTGTGACATGTATCACTGTGACAAGTATTACTGTGACATGTATCACTGTTACATGTTTTACTGTGACAAGTATCACTGTGACAAGTGTTACTGTGACATGTATCACTGTGACAAGTATCACTGTGACGTGTGTCACTATAACAAGTATTACTGTGACAAGTATTACTGTTACATGTATCACTGTGACATGTATTACTGTGACATGAATCACTGTGAAAAGTATTACTGTGACGTGTATTACTGTGACATGTATCACTCTGACATGTATTACTGTGACAAGTATCACTGTGACATGTATTACTGTGACAAGTATTACTGTGACAAGTATCACTGTGACAAGTGTTACTGTGACATGTATCACTGTGACAAGTATTGTTTTGACGTATATCACTGTGACAAGTATTACTGTGAGGTGTATCACTGTGACGTGTATCACTATGACAAGTATTACTGTGACAAGTATCACTCTGACAAGTATTACTGTGACATGTATCACTCTGACAAGTATTACTGTGACATGTATCACTGTTACATGTTTTACTGTGACAAGTATCACTGTGACAAGTAATACTGTGACAAGTATTACTGTGACGTGTATCACTGTGACAAGTATTGTTTTGACGTATACCACTGTGACAAGGATCACTGTGACAAGTATTACTGTGACAAGTATCACTGTGACAAGTATTACTGTGACAAGTGTTACTGTGACGTGTATCACTGTGACAAATATTGTTTTGACGTATATCACTGTGACAAGTATTACTTTGACATGTATCACTCTGACAAGTATTCTGTTACATGTATCACTGTGACAACTATTGTTTTGACCTATATCACTGTGACAAGTATTACTGTGACATGTATCACTGTGACCAGTATTGTTTTGACGTATACCACTGTGACAAGGATCACTGTGACAAGTATTACTGTGACAAGTATTACTGTGACATGTATCACTGTGGCATGTATTACTGTGACAAGTATCACTGTGACAAGGATTACTGTGACATGTATCACTGTGACAAGTATCACTGTGACGTGTGTCACTATAACAAGTATTACTGTGACAAGTATTACTGTGACGTGTATCACTGTGACAAATATTGTTTTGACGTATATCACTGTGACAAGTATTACTGTGACATGTATCACTCTGACAAGTATTCTGTTACATGTATCACTGTGACAACTATTGTTTTGACCTATATCACTGTGACAAGTATTACTGTGACATGTATCACTGTGACAAGTATTACTGTGACACGTATTACTGTGACGTGTATTACTGTGACGTGTATCACTGTGACAAGTATTACTGTGACGTGTATAACTATGACAAGTATTACTGTGACGTGTATCACTGTGACGTGTATCACTGTGACGTGTATTACTGTGTGACGTGTATCACTGTGACATGTATCACTGTGACAAGTATTACTGTGACGTGTATTACTGTGACGTGTATTACTGTGACATGTATCATTGTGACATGTGTCAATGATACATGTATCACTGTGACGTTTGTCACTATGACAAGTATTACTGTGACGTGTATTACTGTGACGTGTATTACTGTGACATGTATCACTGTGACATGTACCACTGTGACGTGTATCACTATGACAAGTATTACTGTGACAAGTATCACTGTGACAAGTATCACTATGACAAGTATTACTGTGCCATGTATTACTGTGACGTGTATTACTGTGACATGTATCACTGTGACAAGTATCACTGTGACGTGTGTCACTATAACAAGTATTACTGTGACAAGTATTACTGTGACATGTATCACTGTGACAAGTATCACTGTGACAAGTATTACTGTGACATGTATCGTTACTATGACGTGTATCACTATGACAAGTATTGTTTTGACGTGTTTCACTGTGACAAGTGTTGCGGTGACATGTGATAATATTATTCTTAGATATCAAACCTTTATTATGCACACGTGTATTTTCAATCATTTAACCTTCAATTCCGGATCTAAGTTGTTGACTTTTCTTTATGCAGACAGCCTCCGGATACATTGACTTGTATGATTGATAGGAGATTGTGAGGTGATGTATGGTTGGTCCACCTTTACATCATTAGAGGTAAGCTATCAAAGTAACACTTCTCTGACGTGCTAGATAGAACTAATTCAAACCATATTACTTTAATTAATGAAAGAGCTCCAGTCAAGGGCAGTAACTAGGTGCATTTAAACCGCTCCGCGTTAATTAGATTAGTTTGGGGTAGAAAGAGACTGACTCAGTTATCATGATTCAGATCTAAATGATGAGGAATCAACCGTACAGATGAATTATATCGAGACGCCCTTGTATGGGACACTTGTGAGATAAAACATGCCGAAGATTTTCTCCTTTTGTATACAAAGTCATTAGGGTAGAAGGTATCGCAGAGTGTATGTGATATCAATACTAACGGGACAGACCACCGAGATAACGTACTTCTCCTTTGATACTCGATTGGTTGTTTAGCTTAGATTCCCCCGGTGTCGGTCGATACGGCTTTCAGTCTGTGTTCACAGTCGGCTGAATGAAGGGGGAATTGTATATATGAATCTAAGTGTCTGCCATATGTATGGTGCTGAGGTAGAATATGACTAGTAAGTCACAGTGTTAACATATATACAATGACAGGCTTCACACGTTATAGCGTTGTTCAGGACTGACCACACCCCCTAAACTACCCATCCCCGAACACAAAACGTGGGTGTTACTACGCTAACTGAGCCGGCTAGGTTACAAACTATGACAAACAGATTTAAAAACCGATTTGGAGGGGCATAGCTTCACGTGCTGTTCCCGGACAAGGCCACATAGTGGTGAACTATACCACTTTATGGATGTACTCTCAGCGCGTTCGCTTGGCAAATACTTACATTCGCATTTCAAACAAATTGGATAAGATATATGGGTCTTTAATATCAAGAATAGAAGAAAAAAACGGTATGTTGGAACACTTTCGCTAGCGTTTGAACTGAAGACTGTATGCTACACTTTTAGTATTTATATATAGATATATATAGAAGTATATATATATATTATTGGATTTATAATACGGAAACCTAGAGACAGTGAAGTTTGTACATTCATTCCACTTGGAACGGAATCAGCAGAGTTTGGCTGCGTCGTAAGAAAATGAAATAAATCTCACAGACACGTATTCTTTAATTTGTGAAATTTAGATTGTGTAATACGCTAGTTACATGCTACACGCGGTTCTCATTGCATTATAATGGGTTATATTAGTATCATGTGTTTCCACCGAGATGCCCGAGCGTTAGCACACATATAGGTAAGTACTGGCAGCATATCGGCTTGTTTACAATAGATTGTTTGTTTGTTTGGTTTTCACAATGATTTACAAGCACGCATTTCTGATTTTACCACGTGTAATATGTATTCGATTCAATGGGTTTACATGGTTTATGTACCATATGGGGTTACAGGATCTCGTCATTCTGTAATGGATAGTTGTTATGAAGAAGCTGGTTGTATAATTCACTTGGAAGTATGCGTATATGAATGTTTACATGGATTCAATCGTATCGATTGATTACATCACAAGGTTACGTAACCCGTATACCCTGTGATAAACCAATAAATATATGACACCTTTTGATAACGTTGGTTGATATGTATCATATTAACACATTTTATTTAAAATTCCTTCTTTTTCATTTTTGACATTTTTTATGAACATAAATTGAAAAGAAGTGTAAGATTTAATCTTATTCAGTGTTTATTTTGCAGATGTGGGAGAGAATGACATTGGTGAAAATTGAGATCAGCGTGGAAACTCGTAGAAATGTTACGTAATGTGACTATGCTTTACTTCTGAATTATTCGGGCATTAACAGCTTGTTATATACGATCCCAACTGTGAAGGAATACCAATCATTGTACGTGACCAGTTACGGAAATTTCGGACAGAAGGAAGTGTTGCCTTACTAGTCTTATATAATTTATGCGCCAGTTAGTGGGTTGATGAGACGAGTGGAGAGTATCAACAGTGGTGAAGTGATGGAGGTACCAGCTCCAGACATCTGTTACAGGTGTAAGACAATGCACTGTAGCAATATAGATCCTGAGGGTCAAGATCGGACAACTGACCACTGTGGCCACAGGGGCGTGACCAGATCAAACTATCATTCCAGTACGGGAAGGACACTAACACTTATATTGCTGCTGTTCATTCAATATTCCTGGTAAGTATCCTTGTTGCTCATTTGCCATAAATTGAAATTTATTGTGTTATCCTTTAATATATATTTATTTGGTTATCTTTGAGTATTCCCTGGTACGTAGTTATATTTATCAGTATTCTAATTATTCTGATTACGGAATTTTGAGAACATTTGGTTTGATACGTATATTTCGTATCCATTCATAATAACATTTTTTTTAAACTGCTTGTGATTGGGGAGTTTAACTTCTGTTGGTGTATATTCAACTTTCCAACACACGAGATAGGTGTCCGTACGGGTTCGACAGTATCCCGTGTTGTCTTTGATTGTGTTAACTCCGGTGGACCTGTTGCGACAATTTCAGACAATCATTTCGGGTTCAAAGCGTACAAATATTTCAAGACTTTATTTCTAAGTCAGTTACACAATGTACAGTGTAACAAGGAGACATAATATCAAAATAAATTACAATAATACAATCAAACGTATGGGCATAATGGTAACGCATATAAAAGGCGTACCTTTTGACTAAACATGCGTTATGTACACTGAAAGACTCAGACGAAAACGTTGATTAAATAACTATGTATAAATGTAATACACATATTTTCCCATTGTACCTACGTATAGAAACGAAGGAACCCTGACAAAGACGAATTTCCGTTAACTTTAAGATAAACAAATATGCATTGCAAATCAATTATTTGTTTATAATTAAAAAAGAAAAAAGTGTTAAAATCTGCAATTCAAATGATCGTATTCAGTAAGTGAAAAATCGTATGTATGATTCAGCAGATAATATTAATGATACTTCATATGGAATTTTGAGAACAGTGGGTTTGGTATACCTCCTTCCTCCTTCCTTTTCTAGGTGGACTTTCTGAGTGTAAACAGTTGGTACGCTATCGGATTAACCAAACCATGATTTGTTCGTTCCATGACACTCTGGTTGAAATCGAATTTAAAAGGTTTTATTCTACAACGAAACACATTTCAAATGCCCCGAAACGGCTCGACGAGTAAAGACTATATCAAAATTAAACATTGTCATTTAAGTAAAAAAAAAAAAGATACCTGTGTCATTTCGCATCTGTTTATATAAATATGAAGAAGCATGTCTCTCAACTGAACAATGATCGAGCTTGATTACTTGTTTGATGATGTAGAAAATTCAGGTAACACTACGCGTATGTAGCACAGTCTTTATTCTGATTCACCCAGAGTTAATACGTATTACATACGTAACATGAACGCCGTAAAAAACAACAGTAACTTTAACAAGTGCCTGTTTCTTGTGATGAAATAACAAATGCGCCACATCACAACAAAGCATCAAATTATACCATATATGGTTTCAAAACACCGTAGAATATATTGATAAATGATTAATTTTCAAACACTGATAGGTATACATTTCACTGTAACAAAATATTAGGCCTTTTTTTTGTGCCGGGTAATTTTACAGACTGTTCATAGCGTGATATGGTTGTACTGGCTTCTTGAATGATAACATCGTTTATCACGTTAATATATATAGATGTAAGAAGTTAATATATATAGATGTAAGAAGTTAATATATATAGATGTAAGAGGTTAATATATATAGATGTAAGAGGTTAATATATATAGATGTAAGAAGTTAATATATGTAGATGTTAAAAGTTAATATATATAGATGTTAAAAGTTAATATATATAGATGTAAGACGTTAATATATACAGATGTAAGAGGTTAATATATATAGATGTAAGAAGTTAATATATGTAGATGTTAAAAGTTAATATATATAGATGTAAGAAGTTAATATATATAGATGTAAGACGTTAATATATACAGATGTAAGAGGTTAATATATATAGATGTAAGAAGTTAATATATATAGATGTAAGAAGTTAATATATACAGATGTAAGAAGTTAATATATATAGATGTAAGAGGTTAATATATATATAGATGTAAGAAGTTAATATATATAGATGTAAGAGGTTAATATATATAGATGTAAGACGTTAATATATATAGATGTAAGACGTTAATATATATAGATGTAAGAAGTTAATATATATAGATGTAAGAAGTTAATATATATAGATGTAAGAAGTTAATATATATAGATGTAAGACGTTAATATATATAGATGTAAGACGTTAATATATATAGATGTAAGAAGTTAATATATATAGATGTAAGAAGTTAATATATATAGATGTAAGAAGTTAATATATATAGATGTAAGACGTTAATATATATAGATGTAAGACGTTAATATATATAGATGTAAGAAGTTAATATATATAGATGTAAGAAGTTAATATATATAGATGTAAGAAGTTAATATATATAGATGTAAGACGTTAATATATATAGATGTAAGACGTTAATATATATAGATGTAAGACGTCAATATATATAGATGTAAGAAGTTAATATATATAGACGTAAGACGTTAATATATATAGATGTAAAAGGTTAATATTTATAGATGTAAGACATTAATATATATAGATGTAAGTAGTTAATATATATAGATGTAAGTAGTTAATATATATAGATGTAAGAAGTTGATATATATAGATGTAATTAAGACGTTAATATATATAGATGTAGGACATCGTTTATCACGTTAATATATATAGATGTAAGACATCGTTTATCACGTTAATATATCTAGATGTAAGACATCTTTTATCACGTTAATACATATAGATGTAAGACGTCAATATATATAGATGTAATTAAGATGTTAATATATATAGATGTAATTAAGACGTCAATATATAGAGATGTAAGGCATCGTTTATCACGTTAATATATCTAGATGTAAGACATCGTTTATCACGTTAATATATATAGATGTAAGAATTTATTATTTTTAGTTTGCATAGTGTTCATATTTTTTTTCATTCTCAAGAAAGCTTCTTCGTTTCTTCGCATTCCTAGTGAATATTTTACGCAACAAAGTGACTCTGTTGGTGGACTGTCAGTCGCCGAGGTTTGCCATAGCCGTGAAGCTGGAATTAACTTACATGAAATACTTGTTTAAGTATCAGTTATGTGTCGGGACTATTTATCTATTCATTTATTTGCTACCTTCGGTATTACTGATGCGTTCTAAAAGGACGAAATGGCCATATGGTGCGACATAGTCCACTTCGTTGGCTTTCTGCATCTACAAAAAAAAAGTTCATACATGTGTTTTAGTTCTCTTTATTTCTAGTAATTATTTGAACGTCAATATCAATATTGCAAAATCTCTCCTACATTCTTTTTCAATTACAAATATGAAGATTGTTTTTATTGGTATAAGCTTATTAAAGAAATAAAAAGGAGCAAAATTCAATAAACCACGATGTCAACACAAAAAGGGAGTATGTACTATATCACCACAGAGGGACAAGTACTATATCACCACACAGGGACAAGTACTATATCACCACACAGGGACAAGTACTATATCACCACACAGGGACAAGTACTATATCACCACACAGGGACAAGTACTATATCACCACACAGGGACAAGTACTATATCACCACACAGGGACAAGTACTATATCACCACACAGGGACAAGTACTATATCACCACACAGGGACAAGTACTATATCACCACACAGGGACAAGTACTATATCACCACACAGGGACAAGTACTATATCACCACACAGGGACAAGCGACATTGGTATATTTGTACTGGTATAATGAGGTATATAAACTTGTAATAAGACAATAGTATACTGCTATCCTCAGAAACTGCGATATTCCAATTCCGATATACCGCTTACGTCAAATTATTTGTTGGTTCCGTTCCAATGTACGAGTTGCTGTTATTTATCCAGTTATATAGATTGTATCAGAATAATTAAAAATAAAACTTCGGAATCAAGCTTGACACAAAAAAACAACAGCAGAAAATGAGGTGACAACTAATAGTACACAAAAATCGCATGAGGGACAAACACGTTCAGTGAAGCATCTGTACCGGTTTATAGTATACGAACACAAGAGGATACCGAAGTGTCACAAACTCATATTTCAAAACTAGGATAAAATATTCACAAAGGAGAGATTTACACGGAGACTCTTGAAACCTTATAAAGAGAATAAGACCAGGCGTTCCTGAAGGGTAATTGTCTTCTGCTTCATTGACGACATCTCCTCTGTAAATCTAGGTCAAATCCCAGCAATGTCACGTTCTCACACCGAGAACTCGAGTATTGTCAACAAAATCACAAGGTATGATAACGATCATAATCAGAACCATCGACCTTCATATCACACAACAAAACGTATGTGTATGTTCGACGTCAGAGCCATGATATATGTATATTACCGTATAGCAAGATGTTTCTGCGGAGATGATATTTTCACGATTTTACGGGTCAATTAATTGATCGTGTAGATGTGATCATCATAACGATATGACAAGCGTAAAAATGAGCCACGATAATAAACTACATAACCGTAATATCTTCATGAAATAGAGCGCATGTGGTTGTGATGATTCATAAGCATAAAAAGTGATGATGTTTCATAATAGATTATATCACACACCTAATAGATTTGTTTATTATTTGTTTAGCAAAATACACTTATTTGTTGTTGCACACTATGCTGTAATAAAACCTATCCATTTGACAACCCGTTGTATGTCGAGTGTCATGCCTCGGTGTCAAATCCCCACGAATATTTAGTTCCATCACGTGTCTAGATCGCGAATTATAATCCGTGTAGATTTATTTTTCTAATTTGGGTCAAAATACGGAAAATTTCAGCCCGCGTCAACAACCCGTTATACAAAACTTACACTAAATCTACGTATGTGGTGTTATTGATGAACATCGACCTCTCGGCTGATATGATCGTCCTCGCTTCTGTTTAGATGGAGGCACGTTACACATTTACTCTACTTAGTAGTAAAACTACAACTAAATATAAACGGTCTATAATTAAAACATCTCGCTCTTACTGATTCAGATACACGATTACATTTCTATTTTAGAATCATACGTCGAGTCGGTG